TGTTGGATTTATGTCATGCCACTCAAATTGAGTATTTACATTTATTTTAAATGTTTTTGTTTTTTCTACAGCCTAATTTTAGAAAGCAAAATGCTTAACCTAGCTCAATATACATTCCAAGATTTAAGTGTGTTAACTTTTAATTAATGTGGCTTTACAAATTATTTTTTTGTTGTTTGCTGCCAAAGGGAAGGTTTAACAGAAGACAGTGTTAATACAGTGTTCTTAACATCTTAATCTGCTTTTTAATGACTTGGCCTGTTAGCGGTGCACATGCGTGACTGCTGAGTGGGGCGGGGCGGGGCTGGCTCTTCACACGACACGTCAGGAGTCGCAGACTCGCAGGCTTCAGAGTGACTTGGCACTTAATGAGTGGCACTGCATGTTCTACACCTGAACCGCCAAGAACTGCCAATGATGTCAATTTAGAAGTAAATCCAACAGGCTGTTGGTGACTCCAGTGCATTGTGGGAAGGGCTCCATGTCAACCTCACCACTACCTCTCCATGTACATAGCTGTCTTGCTAAGACTTAAAAACAACCTTGTTCTGTTACAATAAAGTTACTGTTGGCTAAAAGCCTCTTCTGGTTTTTCTTTGAGAGAATCTGTAGCAAATGTTGTTGATTTCATGTTTCTGCTCGCTGGGTGAGTTGGGTTGGCTCCCCTTCGCTCTGAGATGGGCATCTTTTTTCACTTCCAAATTCTGACCCCCTCCAAGCTGTATCAACATCCTCTCCACCAATAAACAGCTTGGCGCCTGGTGTTTTGTTCCCCCACAGTGTCCTTGCGCGTTGCCTGCTCAGCCCATGCTTTGGGGCCTAAAGCAAGCCTGAAGGAACCAAAGCGATGGTCCTTGGGGCGAAACGCATGGAGTTGGAGTGGAAGTGGGGGTATTTTAAAGATGACCTCACCCTTTTAAGGAGTCCCGGTGCTGAATGCGGACGGAGGAATGAGACCCCAGCACCCCTTCCACTCCAAGGGGCCTGGCTCCATTGTTCCTGGTGGTGACCTACATTTCTTTTCAATTCAAAGAGCACAGACAATTTAACCTTTGAAACATGAAAGGAACCCCCCCCCCAAGACCCCCCACTTGTCATTTCACAATCTACATAGATTAAGGATCAGTGCGCCTCTGCAACTCTGGATTTGTTAGGGTCCCAAGAGGTAACCATTTTTGGAATTTTTCTGTTCCATGCATGGGAGAGAGCAGGAGCGCAAACACACCCCACAGAATGAAGTCCTGCACACTGAATGGGCGGATGCAGCACCCCAGTAATAAATTATTGCGAAACAATATTTTGCTTAAAGTTTTTTTTTTTTAATCTGAAATACAAACCTGCAATACTCATGACATTTAAACTCAATTGTTGCGTAATACTTATCATTTAGTCCTACAAGACTAACAATGGTTCAAAATGTTCAGTATTACTTTTATCCTGGATTTTATCACAAGAAGAAGCTTCTGTCACGAATTAATGTATGATCGCGTCGTATATTTTCATTTTGGGCGTTCATCGCTGTTTTGATATACTTTGTTGCCCCCTAGTGGAATGTATCTGCTAATTAAAAAAAATAATAATTTTACCGCTGTTCTTTCAGGAGGATAAAAGATAACTAACACTGGTAGTTATTCTTACCATTACGAATTCCCAAAATGTCCTCTAAAACTCAATTTTAAAACGTTTTTTCCAGTGTAGTCCCTTGATGATGTGTTTATTTTTGTTCAAGCTGTTGTGTTCAGGTTTCGGGAAAAGATTCTATCTAAACCCTGTGGTTCTGCTGGTGCCGGACACTGGTGCTGGACAGGAGTGGAATACACTCTACCTCAGTCTGCTGTTTGCAAGACACAGTGGAATCTGTATGATGTCTCCCGACAGAATCGAAGAGAGAATTTGTAAATATGCAAAAGGAGGGTTAAAGGATAACCACCGTTAAGCGAGAGGCCGCTTGGCGGTGAGGCAGAGCTGTGCAGGAAGGCCGGCTTTCCTGCCTCAGCGCTGGTTTCCTGTCACTCTCAGGACATCCTCTTCCTCCAGCTGGGACCTTCAATTCAAGCCTCACAAAACGACAGGCTGTGTCGGAGCCATCGAAGCCCAGCTCCTTCCATGCCGGAGACTGAACCCGGTGTGTGAACCCAGTGTCTGGCCTGTTCTGGATGGAGAGCGGGCTGTGTGACCTGTGCTGGTGCTGGGGTTGGGGGGGGGAGGGTTCCTGTGGGCTCAGCTGCACAGTTTCAAAGAGGAGAGAAACATCCCCCACATCAGTGTTTTTCTAAACTATCAGCTGTGCTGTTCTTTCCAGACAGCCAACATCCACAGTTATCTGCAAGGCCTTCTGGGAACTGCAGCCCTCTTCTCTCAGACATGTGATGTTCTGCAGTGTTTACACAGGCTGCCAGTAACTTCCTGTCACAATGTATTGTTTTGTTGCTAAAAAACAGCACGTTTATTAATCCGATTTGTGGTCTGATTAGAAACCTTTTTTTTTTTACCTAAAAATACATATATTCTATACAATATATGTGTCTTTAAATATATTTCTCAATAGCTGCTGCAAGTTACTATATGGAAAACAGAGAAATGATAGAGTGACGTACACGTTTGGAATGATACATCTTAAGTGTGGGACTGAGAGCTCATCAGTCATCCGAGCTGAGGCGCTATTCACTTTTGGGCCAGATGCGAGTTGCAAAAACCCCTAGTCATTCCAGGAATTACTTGTCAGAGTACAAACTAACAGGCCTTGCAGAGACCTGCGCTGGATCAACATCCGCCTCGACTTGCTGAGACAACAAGGGCAGCCCGCTGAGCAGGCCTGAATGCAGGGGAGAGATCAGCATCCCGCCCTGACAGCACCAGCACATGGTGTGTTTGCGTGAACTTGCACTTGGCTTAGACCACCCCGCAACTACTCCTGAAGCATCTTACGCAATCACTTACTGAATGCTGACAGCCCCCCCCCTCCATGAATATCAAGTAATTCCTGTAAGACCCATTGTCACCTTTAAATGACACAATGATGAGGTCGCTGGGAGGGGATTGGGTCATAATAAACTCCAATTGTAAAGCACGTGCCGGAGCTAATGATGACCTAGAGAGAAAGACTGAGGATGGGACCCCTCCCAAATGGGTGCACAGAATACAAACCCTGCTGAAAGTTAATAATTGCCACACAGAACAAAACATTTTTTTGTTTCAGTAAATGATTGACCTGGTATGATAGTGGACTTCCTCTCTATATTCATGGATGCATCTCTGAGATTATGCCCATGAACGCCCCCCTTGTGTTTCTGAAACACTAAATATTAACCCCTGTAAACTGCATATAAAATTTCATTTTAGCTTTAAGAAACATTCATTTCTACATGTTTCAACATATACGACTCATGTTGAATTGTATAGGTTCTTTTTTAAGGTTTGGGCAACATTTTTATGTCTTAATCAGATAAAGACTGTTTATTCCGTGACTCTTACATAAACAACCTATAAATCTGTTGCTTCAGTGACACTTTCCACTCCCTCCAGTCTCTGTCCACACCCTAGTGGAACCACACCTTAGAACCACAGCTGTAGTTGTGATTGTGTCCTTTCAGAGCTGTGCATATCTGCCCTTTGTGACACCTTATGGAGGGTCAGCTCTGTAAGGCGCTGGTCAGATCTGCATCTTCAGTTGCACAACTCGGTATTACGATTAATTCCTATTCAATTCAAGAAGCAACGATACCTTAAGAGTAGAGTTTGCACCATATGTATCATCTTAGCATTCTGTGGAGTTTATGGACTCGTGTTTGTGCATTTCATATTCCTCTCCTGCTGTATGGAAATGAACTTCCACCAACAATTAATAAAGTACATCTACCAAAGAAGCAGCATTTGTCTTTATAAAATGTCATGTATACAAAATCTACTTACATTTCATAGTTTTTATAATGTTAAGCCCAAAATCTAAAGACTATGCATAGACCTACGGAAAATGTTTTCATTCCTCTCAAAGAGAGGAAGACGAAATTCTCCACAAAGCTCTTCACTCGTCAGGACTTAACAGCTTGCCGTCCAGCGACAAGCAAACCAACCGGACTGGGAGGAAACATGTGCCACTGGGAGCCTCCTCCCTGTTCCCAAACCAGCTTCCTAGCTGTAGGCTGGGAAGGAGGAACTACGCTTGTCCAGTTAGGTGATGTAGAGCAACCCACAGAAGAGCGTCTGCAAGAGCCAGAACAAGGAACTTCACCAACGGGATCAAGCCTGACAGGTCTGATGAGCAGCAAGGCCCAGAGCTGTATTGTTATCTGAGCTATTGATGCTAAGCATTGGCTCCGGGGGATGGTGTCATAATTCTACCACACAACAATGCTGATCGGAAGCACCGCTGTTCCCTGACACAGCAAGGCGAATACTCTGCGCTTGTTATTCAGTCCCTTATCAGCTGGCTTAGCACTTAGACCTTGGGTAGAGCTCTCTCTCTCACTGACTCTCTCTCTCTCTTGGTCTCTCTCTCAGTCGCTCGTTCGTTCCCTTTCACCGCCGAGAGCAAAGAGCAGGTGGCGGCGTGTACATGTTTGCGCTCAGGGGAGTGTAAGGAAGCCGCGGAGCCGGAGAGGGAGACATGCAGCGGCACCGATCCAGGGGTACCGTGACTACTGCTGTGGACGCCTCGGATGAGACCACTGAGGTAAGACATGGGGGGGTTGGGTTCGAGGGGGGGGTGGTGTTCGGTGAAGGAACTCCCTCAATCTGCTCAGAGCTCTCTGGTCTCTCTGGGCTGCCTGTCATCCCGGACTCGGACGCCTGTGACAGTTGGCTTGCATTCGCCCTTTGCGTCCTTTCTCGAGGTATCAGGGCTTCCGCTCCCGCATGGCTGCATTTAAACGTCCTGCCTTGGCACTGGTAATAAATTTCCCGTAGGTAGGTTAGGATCCCCCGATCGCAGTTTTCGTGTTTGCTCCGGGATGTGCGTATAACCGCGGCGGTAATAAGAGCCGCGCGACCGCCCAGCTCACTGCACCAGTCCTGCGCTACTCTGCGCTTAGCTGGCGCTGACATCCACACCGCGGGGCCACATGCTGCTGAACTTTCCACTTCGGAGCTGAAGTGCGCATTTTTTTTCCTTTAAAAAAATGTTAAACGTTAGCCGTCGAGACCGATCGAAGTAAGAGCACCAGAAATTCATGCATCCGCGCAGTTTGCCGTTCGGTTCTGCAGATGTCATGAGCTCGTCTGGTATGGTAAAGCGAAAGGCTACCCTGAATACTGTACCCTCAATGATGGTAATGCATGCTAACTCGTTTGTTTCCGTTTGTTTGTCTGGGCTCTAAAATTAGCAGCGCTGCCCCTACGGCCTGTTATTGTTCTTCCAGCGCTTCTCGTATCACGTTCTTAAATGACAGACAATGCAGCTCATTAATGTACAAGGAGTTATTTAATGGGTTAAATGATTAATTATTTATTTAGAATTAACACTAATCCGCTGTACATGCTGTTGGGTTTTAAATCATTGGGGTGCGGCTGTTAATACAATAATATTGATGCGGAAGCATGTGATTCAGTTAAATATATCCGTCATATCAAGCCGTGGGTGCCACATTCTTGTCTCTAGCAAAGTTGATCCCCTGTGTGTGTGTCTGTCTAGAGGAAGATCCAGCGCCTGCGTCTGACTCTGCGCCCCGGTGACCCCTCCTCAGAAGAGTTTGAAGGTCACACGACCAGCACTGGCCCGGTGAGTTTGCACGCACACACTGTCCATCTCAGTGCTGCTCACAGCCTTAGGCTGGTACCTCCCTGAAATACTCAGCCATAAGGCATTTACCTTCACCCTGTCATTTACATCTTCTGGCACGTATAACCTGTTCAGTTAGTCTGGCCTGTGGCCCTCTTAAGCACAATGGGTTCCACATTTTCATGTGTTCCTGGGTCTGGACTACCTGGGGACTGAAGCGCCTGGGATCTTGACTGCCTGGGGTCTGGACTGCCTGAGGTCTGGACTGCCTGAGGTCTGGACCGCCTGGTGTCTGGACCGCCTGGCTTGCTTTCCGTATATTGATGGTGCTGCACGTCATTGTTTACCTGAACAGGCCGTGTGGCGGCTTGTTAAACATCTACCCAGTGGCGTGATGCTGCATGTCCCATGCGGTGCCTGAAACGCCAGCGGCTCGCTGTGAGGAACATTCTGCCCGGTCTCATTCCGAGGTGCTTGGAAGGCGCTCAGGACGATTGCTGATTTCCCCAGAGTGTGTAGCGCTTGACGGCTACAAATTAACATTCAGGTGTTGCACTAAAGCATTCTCATCTTTACTTTGCTCACGTGTGCCTGTGTACAGAAGGATGGGGATTCAGCCTCGTACCTTCAGAGTTGCTGGTTCATGGACCCCCCCCCCCCCCCCCCCCCCCCCGCTCTCTCTGTATGGCAATCTTCCCTGAAAGCACAATTTCCTCACACAGTTGAAAAACAAGCTGAAGGTGTGGACTTCAGTGTCTGACATTAATAATTATTACATTATTTATAATCATGGACTGCACATTCTGTAAATATGTGTTTGGATGGGTTACAGAAAGACACCGATTATCCTTTTTGCCGTCACTGACGGTGTCATCGGGGATGACCTGTCACCAATTAGTGTGACAATCCGCGGCATAAAAGTGAGTGACGTAGGAACTTAGCGGCGAAACAAAGATAAGCAGAGGCTCAGTTTCTATGATACCGAGGGAATGATAACAAACAGGCAGGGCGACATAGCTAAAATTGTGCCGTCTTGCGTTTACATCACAGGGATTTTGTTACATCGTATAGAATGAAGACGACATCCATGTGGAGACAAAGAAACAAGTTGACGAGAGCTTATGCCGGGTCTGGGTGCATGTCTTTGATGGGCCTTTTCAGGGTTGCCGGCGGGGCCAGACCGGGACCCAGGGCTGAGCATCAATTTTTAATACCACCTATTTTTTATTGGAATCGACACAGCTGCTCTGCGGCGGCCGCTGTGGCCTCGCACCTCCAGAGCATTGAATCTCACTACCATCGTGTGTCTGCAGTTTGCTGCTTGTCTCACGCAGGATTCCTTCAGCTACTTCAGTTTCGGTCGGCAATCCTGAGACATCATGCTAATTGGCATCTCTTAATTAGCTTATATCACGGGTTGCGAGTCCCCCCCCCCCGCACCGGTCCGTAGCCCATATTCCACCGGGCCGCCGCGGAACGCTAGGGGATTTTTGCGGAGAGGTTGGCTAATTTCCAGAAATGAACTATTTATCTTCAATTTTTTATGACCCCCGACATTTGCATGTTCTGTTTGCGTCTGAAAAAAAATGCGAAAGGTTGAACTTATCAACGGTCCATCTGCTAGCTAACCCCCCCCCCCCCCATCTGTAGATCGGCCCACAGACATCAAAAGGTTGGGAACCCCTAGCTTATAGTGCATATGCCTTGAAATGGACTAGCATCCCATCCAGGGCGTGACCCCAGTTTTGTGTCCCATGCTGCCTAGGACAAGCTCCAGGGTCCCGTGCAGCCCTGACCAAGATAAACAGTCATAGGAAGGATGGATGGATGGATGGTTTGGATATATTTTTTTCCATGAGGATTTGGCTCATGGTCCTTAAAGTCTTCAGAATTGAGGCAGCTGAGCGTGTTTTGGTTGTGATGACGTCCACATGATCAGCGTGGAGATGGAGCTGGCAAGGCACCCCAGTGGTTTTTTTTCTTGTGCCCTGGGCATACCGTGTGTTGCTACAAGTTTCATGGCACCATCCCACACCGAAATATGACATATAGCTGGGAACTGGGCGCCCCCCCCACAGCGATTCCCACATAACCCGATATATCCGGACGGAAAATGTGACCATGCCAACGCAGGTCGTTGACAACAGAGAGCATCACAGTTCTATAAGTGTCATAATGTACAAGTATCCTTTCTTGTACTGTGGAGACATATTAGCGGATGTGCACACAGCAAATATCGATTGTCAGCGTCGCGGTCTTCGCTCTCAGAGTGGAAGTAGGTGGACTGAGAAGGAGCACAGCCAGTGACAGCGCACACCTAGTGACAGCGCACACCTAGTGACAGCGCCCGGAGACATGCAGTCCGCCAGGTTTATCCTGAGACTCTGCCTAAATAAGCTGAAAAGGTATATTTGCTATAAATTGTGGTGCGCTTTTCAGGACTCGTCTGACAGTGGCACTCCAGCCTTCTCATCTCCGCAGCAGCACGATGGCAAGTTGGCCAGCGACCCCTACAGGAGGAGAAACGGCTACGTGCAGCCGGGGGGGCCAGTGGGCACGGAGGACACAGACCAGGTGGGGTTGGGTGCCGCCGAAGCCACATGGGAGGGGCGGGCGCTGCCTTTCAAAGTCATCTGCGCGGCGGCACTCCCGAAATGACTCACTCTGACTCCTGTGTTGTTGTGATGTTAGCTAATGCTTGCTGGAATGAAGATTGTAAGTAAATTAAGAGACAGGCTTCCCTTTGGACTTTTAGATTCAATATACATTTGCTTGTTTTATGAAGAGTACATGGAATGTATCAAAGAAACGTATCGCAGGCATCTGACCGTTAGGAAGCCTCCGAAACGTTGGACCCGTGCCGTGCTCTCCGATTCGCCCGTGGGTCCGGGGACAAGCTCAGAGCTGAACCGCAGTCCCCACTGCTGTGAGGCACGATGTCTGCAGGCCGCTGCGTTCCTGCACCAGGACAGCACATTCCTACTGTATAGCACTGGTGGGGGGGGGTTTGCAGGGGCACAATCCCCATGAGGAGGTGGGGGCTGGGGCGAACTTACTGTGTTGCAGAAACGTGACACCAGCCCAGCATTTGGGGCATTTATATAATTATTTGTTAGGGTTGCTGTTTCTTACTTTCAGGTTATTAAAATTCTGTGCGCACACACACACACACACACACACTCACACACACTCACTCACGCAAACACAGAAGTCCACCTATGCATATCTTTGTGGGGACTCTTCACTCATTTCTATGGGCATAACCCTAATCCCAACAATGACAACCATAACCTCTACCCGACCCTGAACTTAACCAAAAGGTTTTTGATTGCATTCACAGAGTTTTATAAAAATGTCCCCACAACGTTGAAATAACAGGTTTTTATCCCACATGCACACACACACACACAAAGACAAACACGCGGCACACAAATATTCTCACGTGTGTGACAAACACATACACATACACGTGTGCACATAGATTAAATACATAGGATAAGTACATTAAATAAACACACAGACTCTCACCTACATTCACAAGCACACACCCTTATGCAAACACATACATGCGTGCATTCACATACACGGAGGCACAAGCCACACCCCATGCGTGTGGAATCCTGAAGCCGGTTCTCTGGTGTCCTTCAGCACACAGCTCCCGCAGTCAATGGGTTGATGGAGAAGCCGTCCCAGAGGTCCGCCGTGGTAGGCGGGGGCGTGCCGGGGGCGGACACAGACACCCAGCAAGGCGTGATGGCGCATGAATGGACCGTCAGTCACCTGAGGGACGAGATGAACTACATCCGAGCGGTGAGTGTGGCGGATGTGGGGCTGAACCCCCCCCCCCTCCCGGCAGTCATCCCCGCAGTGATCATTAAAAGTATAATCTATTTCCCATTCGGTTTTCCTGTCCATTTTGCTGAGTCATTCTGGCTTAAATACTAGTGTCAGGGGCATAGCTTAAAATTCTGGGCCCTCTAACAAAATGTCACCCCCTACGTAATTTTACATATAGTTTTACATATTCGAGGGACCCTGAAAAGTGTTGGGCCCTACTATCCCCCCCTGAATAGCCAAAACTAATTTGAGTTAATGTGAGGAAGCCCCTCTGTCAGCCTTCTGATTGGTTATCCAGACTGAGTAATGGGGGGCCAGGAGCCTATCACAGGCAGCACAGGGCAGCAGGCAGAGGTTCACCCTGGTGGTATGCCAGTTAATCACAGGGCCCCCGCTATGGGCAACTTAGAAACACCAGTTGACTTAACTGCATGTCTGTGGACCGTGGGGAAAGAAGTACCCAGAAGAGACCTACACAACACAGGGGGAACATGCAAACTCCCCAAACAGGAGCGGCCAGGAGCTGGATTCAGATTCCCAGCCGTGGAGGTGTGAGTCCACAACACTAACCATGAAGGCGACCCTGCCCTCTACATGAGGAAGCGTTAAAAAAATCAAGCTCAACATGAAATGACAAACATGTTCCTATTAATTTTTAAAAAATACCTGGGCCCATATTCTGGCTTCCTGTGCACCCCTTACTGTTGTCCACCAGATGCCCCCCCTGCCCCCACCTCTGACAGGCAGCTAATGAACAGCTAGGAGAGCAGTGTGTCCCTCCCCACGACGGACAGCCAGTCACTCTGGCACAAGCCCATTTGCTGAACCATGGGAGGGATTTGCTATTTTTACTTTGTCTGGGAAATCTGTTAAATGTTTGTACTGAAGTCCGTCGCCTCGTTGACCTTGTCAACAGAGACGGGTTACAATCAAGTTAAAATCCTCAGGAGGCCCTATCCTCTCTCTGCCAGGTGAGAGACTCTTTGGAGAAGGTGCGAGAGAGGATGTACGGACAATTTGGCGGAATGCAGCAGTCGATGCAGAAGATGTCACAAGATATCAAGGTAACACGCCAGGTTGAGGGCTGCAGGGCTGCAGGGCTGCCTTTGAGTGAAACGGAACCAAAATGGACCAGCCGTGAGGAGTATATGATTTTGTCCCGAGGTTTCCTGTCTGATCTTTGTGGCGCCCCAGTGCATCAAGGGATATCTCTCCTCAGGCTGCCAATGCCCAGAGGCAAGACCTGGAGGCACAGGTGAGGGTGCGCACCACAGCCATGGAGAGCTTGGACCAGATGAACAGCTCCCTCTTGTCAGACAACATAAGTCTGCAGGTAAGATCATAGCACTATCCGAACATCACACATGCTCGCGTCTGCCATGATGAGCTCAAACAAAAGAAAAAAATCCAGAATGAGTGGGACTAAGCCCAAAAAACGAAATCCAAACCTACAGGACTGAGCCCAAACAAACATGGCTAAACTAAACACGTGGTGCTAAGCCCATGATGGATGGATCGAAACCAAAACAAATGAGGTTAAGGCCAACTTTATGGATGTAGGCCCAAAATGACAGGCCCAAACACAGGACAGAACTGAGTCCTAACAGACAGGGCTAAACCCAAACAAACAAGTGTAGATCCTAACAAACAAAAGTAAAAGCAAGTGAACGAGCCCAGAATTCCACTTGTTTTAATTAACGTCCATTCATCATAGTGCCTTTCTTTTATGGGCTTTACTTATGTTGTGAATGAACCGTCAGGCTGTCTGTCCCCCATTGCCCCCATTGTTTTTTCCTGCATTCCCATTTCCTGCCGGGGATCAGTATTTCCATCACGTGCCTGACGTGTGGATGATAGCCCCCCCCCCCACAGCCTCGCCCCGCTGTGTGAAGAAGAGGCCGTCAGCTGGATAATCTGAGCAAAGAGTAGACGAATGACAGGTCGCTCTGCACAAAGTAGCGATTTCAGCACCTCGGGTGATGCTGAGTGACCCAGCAAATCACAGGATAATGCTGCTTAAAATGGCGCTGATATTTGTGGCGTATTTCATGGGGGAGTGTAGGAACTGGACGCTGACTTCATTTTGAGAGTAGCTCTGGGCCGTTTCAGCCTCACCCACATCACATGCTGGGTTTTTTCCCAGTAAGGATAATGTAATGGAATGATTTGGTAGCTGAGGGGGGGGTCCCTTTTGCAGAAGTCCCTGCTAGAGAACTGCCTGGACCGTGTGGAGAAGCAGGACGAACTGAAGACCCTGCGGAGCACCTGCCGCCAAGCTGAGACCAAGCTGTGGGAGAGGGAGCGGGAGCTAGCCTCCGCGCGCGCCGAGAACCAGGCCCTCCGGCTGCAGGTACGAGGCAGATGAGGATGTCCTGCAGGGGGCAGTGGTTAGCCAGCAGTGGGGCAGGGGATCCAAGCAATGGGGCAGTGTGGATGGAGATGGGAGGGGAAGGCCACGCCCCCTGAGGAGGAAGCAGTGCCCAGCATGGCACTCAGTTCCAGTGCCCAGCATGGCACTCAGTTCCAGTACCCAGCATCGTGTCCACAGCAGCCCAAAGCGCAAAGCCAGGACTCGGACATGCTTCCCCTCAAGTGTCCCTGCGAGATGTGAACGTGGGTCTCCTGTAGGGGGAGTCGGTGAGCCTGTGAGCTCCTCTGAGCCGGCCACAGCCAATTTCTTACTCTGTTTACTTCTGCTTTCCTGGTTGTCACGATGAGCTCACCGCGGCTCGTCCCACTTGCCCATATTTCAGGGTGGTATCGACTGACAGCACTTGGATCGTAGCTCAAATTCCAAAGAATTACAGCTGGTCTTAATCCAAGGCTTAGGTTTCGCTCCCTTTAACACCTTATTGGCCAATAATTTATAGCTATTAAGTTGTCATAAGATATGCTAGTATGCTATAATATCATCATCGTATCATATTATGCTAATTAATATAATGTAATATGGTGTTGTGTAGTAGCATGCCATAATGTGTATATTAATAGACTTGTGCATGCTAGGGTTAAAAAGTTCTGCCGGTTAGCATTCCAGTCCCTGTGGTCGGCAGAGTGATGTCACCAATGGGCCCCTGAGTGAGGCCCTTAACCCTAATTTATCCAGGCACTGGCTGATCCTGCCGTCTCAATTGTTTGTCACTTTAAATAAAAGTCATCATCATCATCATATAAATCATATATATGCTCATGTGCTGTAATGTATATATTAATATACTATGCTGGTCTGCTTTAACGTTGTCATATTCTCATGTGCTGTACCTGCATAGCAGGCAGTAGGTGTATGCGAGGCTGCCATCCCAGCGTGTGGCCCCTTCACACTGGTCCCCGACCTGCTCCTGTTCCTGCCTTAGATAGAATCTTCCCAGGAGGCCAGCTCCCAGGCGCTGCAGGAGATGTCTGAGCGGCTGCAGAGGGGCCACGATGAGCGGCTGCAGGAGGAGCAGCGGAGGCACAGGGAGGAGATCGAAGCACTGCAGGTACAGGCCTCCTCCGCCGGCTGGGCAAAAACGCCGGCAAGGTTTCATTCCTCCGTCCCTAAATGGGCGCCTGGTACAGACGCTGCCCCGGAACGTCACTCTGATAAAGCCGTCCCAAAGAGCCGACGCTGTCTATCATTCGATGTTGCACAGTGCTTTTATCTGGGACATGCTGTGCTCTGAAACCCAGGCTCAAATCGACAATTACGTGAAGCGTCTGGAGGAAGCAGAGATGAAGGTGAGGACGGCGGAGGCCAAGATTGCGGAGAAGGACAAACGAATCAGCGAGGTGGAACGTCTTCTGGACTGTATGGGCCAGGTAGCAGCCCGGGGCACCGACCCTGTCCCAAGCTGGCCACCTGATCCCTGTCAGGGCAGACATGAGCTACTTCAGGCTTTACAAACTACTTTGAAACTGAAAGGCTCCTGTGTTTGGCTAATTAGCTCAATTCAGCTTGTGCTTTGACTAGTTTGTTTCCTTGATTGAAAGACTCATCCATCTGTTTCACATTAACATTAGTGACACATGCATGATTATAGGAGACTGACCTATCAGCACACAGCAAGAGCTCAGTGCTAAAGTGAAATCCAGGTCTTTTTAATTGAAATATTTTACAGACCAGCCAAGTTTACAGACCCTGTCCTAGCTCACAGTTTTCCCGCTGACATGGATTAGGTGGTCTCTCTACCCTGACCTCTCGCCCTGATTTACCATTTTCACTTACTGACCTTTATCCAAAGTCTTGATTAATCTACTTTTAATTGAATCGTTCAACTTTTTACACAAGAGTTCTTAGCAGGGAGTCTCGTGGAATTTTAGCCCGCGCCCATATTCTCAACAGTGATGCCACCTAGTGGCCAGGGGTGTCATTAGGCCTATTTCTTTTTTTTGGGGGGTTAGCCCCCCTAAAATGTTTTTAGCCCCCAAAAATAAATGTGTATTTTTTGGCTTAAGTGATTAATAGCTTTTTATATTATATATGTTTGCCAACTGTTTCTGTTTTTATTATTTGTGCGCTTTGTTTGTTGAAGGAAAAAAGCCACCTGCTGGTGAAACTGCAGGACTGCGAGCAGCGGCTGCACATCCTGGAGCAGGAGACAGACCGCGTGGACGAGACCGTCTTCAATAAGTGAGAGCAGGAGAGCCGTCGAAGTTCTCGTCTTCTTCAGAGAGCCTCGTTCACAGGGACGTCTGACATGTTTCAACCCCCCCAGGTCTCAGAAGCTGGAGGATGAAGCCGCAGAACTGCGGGAGAGGATTAAACACCTGAACGACATGGTGTTCTGTCAGCAAAGGAAGGTGAAGGCCATGATTGAGGAGGTGAGGGGGTCTGCTGAAGGAGAAGGAAGATGACATGATAGGGGGTGGAGGTGTCGTCTCACACACAGCAGCCAGGTGTCAGGGAAGGTGAAAGTCTATATGCTGATCAAGGAGGGGAGGTCTGTCTCAAACACACAGACTAGCTGCTCGGGGCCCCTTCATACTTGCAGTGTGTGAGCTAGTTCACACGTGGCTGTCAGATGTTGTCCTGTTATACCGAGCTCCGGGTACATCTAGGAGTATGTTTCCAGAGGGAATGTACTAACAGGGACAATGGTCTGAACTGTCGCTCGTCTTCTGGGGATCTGCAGGTTGAAATATTGCGAGCTACGGTAGCAGAGAAGGACCTGTTCATTACCGAGCTTCTGGACAGAATCGCTGCAGCGGAGTCCAAGGTAACGACGTTTGGACTGGAATGCGTGACGGTGCAGTCGGAGCCTATTAAAACCCGCCCGCTCATGTGGACACGCTCCGTGAATGTGATCGCGGCTAGCAGTGATGGCACACTTTTGCTTCCTCTGCAGAACAACGCCAAACGTGTGGAAACCAAAGATGTCGGAGTGGGCTGTGATCTGCCCGTCAGGTACAGAGAACGAGCCAAAACGCCCACTTCTTCTTTGTCAGTGACAGTGAAGCCTTTTGTTCTAAAATGATCCTGTATTGTTGGGGCAGGCCAGAGGCTCAGCCTCCGGATGAACTGCAGGCCACGCCAGTCAGGTGGAGCCCGCGGCTGACGAACCGGATGGAGTCGAGCCTCCTCAGGTATTCCCCGAAGCAGTACAGCTTAATGCTGCAATCCAGGTCTTCCCAGACAACCAGCGCTGGTACCAGCCCCGTGCGGTCTGCTGGAGACCCCCAAAATCCTGCACAGCCCAGCCCACCTCAGCAGACCTCAGTACAGCCCCCCCCGGGCCCCTCAGTCCAAGAAACGGCCCACCCACCACCATCCAATCCAGGCACGACCTCCAGTCCAGCAGAGCCATTTTCACCAATCAAAAAACTGTATGACATCACAGAGCACACAGAGGCTGAATGAGTGACAGCAGATTAGCATCTCGCTGCAGCACTGTATTCCATCTAAAGCGTGGCTAAATTCGCAGCATTGCCTTCTTCACCAGTATTTCCAGTTTTGAGTTACTCACATGAAGAAGAGATTTGATTTCTCAACAGTCTTCCTTTGTTTACACTGCAGTCTGTGGGAGTATGAGGCATACTTTAGTATTTTAATAAATAATTGTAAATAGTTTTATTTCATTGTAAATAAATTTACAGATAGTATTTTATGCATTTCTTTTGTTTACATAAGTGGTAAGGTATTATGGAAACCTATGACTGTAAAAATTTGTACATTTCTATTATCAAGTTATAATGAAAAAAATATGCATAGAAAATATTTTATTATTGCTTAAAGCTTTAGGCATTTTTGGCATTCATGTGCTATGTATGTATAGAGTTTAAAAGTACAAATTCAAGGTGGAAAGGAGAATATGTTCAATGAAAAATATTAAGACCTTGAATGAATGGTTTGATAAAACTGAGCCGTCGTTTAGTCAGGTGTGAGCAGTCAGGTCTGAATCGCAAAATATCCAGGCCAAAGCACATGTAAATATGGCCAATCCAGTGCCTCTCAATGAGTTGTTTTTTATTTTTATATTACAAGTTGCGTTTATTATTATAAAAAACTGTATATCTGCTAATGTTAACCATTAAAATTGCAATTAAAATGCTGACCGGTGATTGTATTTCTTACCAGTGTTCAGTACCGGCAGGGGGCGACATATTCACATCTGCAGTTTTATTACAACTTTTTTTTCGTGGCAAGCAACTGACCAGTGTAATAAGTATTTTTTTATTCACATAGGTGCAATACGTTGTGTATTTGAACACATAAAAAACATAAATTATAAAAGAACACATATGAAATGTTGCATATTTTTAAAAATAGCAGTTGATACGTGTTTTTTATCCATTGTGTTTAATGTACTCAATAAAGAATTGAACTATGTTTGCGGGCACGTACGTACAGGGTTTGTAGTGCGAATAGGTAAGGCCAACCAGTGTCTACAAATTGCCCATAGATCAGTGTTTTCCAACTTGTGGGTTTCGGTGTTTTTTTTCGGTAGACAACTGTCGCGCCACCCCCCTGGGATTTTTTTGTGCTGAATAAGGAATAATATGGATCCTGAGGCTAAACCAGTGGTTCCCAAACTTTCTCTGCAGGGCCCCCCTTTTCTAGATAGGAACCTTATCCTTATCCTCCTTATCTGCTATTTCTCCCGAATATTACGTAAAGCAGTGAGAACTGGTTTTCAGTTAATTTACCTGGTAAAATAAAGTTTAAATAAATTACATAAATGCTCTAAAAGTACACGTAAGTTAGTGATTCATTTATTGTTAGTTACTGTAATGTTGCGCTGCTTTATCTGTTTAATCGTCCAGTCTGTGAAGCGATTATTTTAGGGTGGCACATTCCCCTGAGACTATCCCATTGGTGCGCCCCGCCGCAATACCTCTGCACCCCCCTAGGGAGGCGCACCCCCCAGTTAGGGAACCACTGGGCTAAACCATCTGATAACCTCTACTATAGAGTATGATTTTTGTGCGTGTATATGTGCCGTGCGATGGAGTGGTATCCCATTAAGGGTGTATCCCAGCATTGTGCCCTGCGCTGCCGGGCATGGGCTCCAGGACCACTCGCAACCCTGATGAGTATTAGGGTTAGAAGACGGATGATGGTCGCTGTCACCCTCCAAGACAGTAGGTGGCGATGTGCAATATCTATTAGTCAAACCAACATTAACAACGCACTGTCGCAAAATAGCTCAAGTACTCTATGGTACTTCCGGTCTGACTTCCGGAATGCGGTTGACGGACTACAGCGGTCCTCTGGGAGACGGTGGTGTTATTAGTGTAAGCGCGCTTTTTACTTACTGTAATGAATTCTTCGTGGACAGAACGGCAGGGACAAGTCGGAAATCTTCAGGGCAAGAGTAAAGAAGAGCTTTGCGAAATTTTACGGCGACAGGAGAAACTACTTAGTAACAAGTGAGATGTTTTGCTCCTTAGCTGGCTGGAAAGCGGGAGAAGTATCGTTTGCCGCGCAGTATCTGTCTGCACAACTCAGTAACAGAAGATTCTAGACAGTCCGACTGCCTAATATTTTAATATTCATGACCTTTTTGACCTATATTCAGTCACCGATAGCCCGTTTCACTATGTTTGCTCGACAATTGCTTGATAACCTGTTCGTAAATGTATGTAAAATTTACCAATCGGTATGTTTGTGTAGATGTTAGGGTAAAAATTGTATCTTTTATGCATTTAATACAGGTCATGCTAACCAGCTACATTCGTTGTTTACAAAGTGAGTAGTGAGACTGGGGCGAGTATTATTAGCTAGTACTTTTGTTTTTGACAGCGTTTGTTTTGTTTGCTTGCTTTTAAAGGAAATTTGTTCAGTCCCTTCCAGATAAAGGGAAGAAGATAATAGACTTTGTACAGAGACTTCGTCTAGCTGTTGCCAACGATGAGGAAGAGGAGAAAAGACAGCATCTGCTGTCAGCTGTGAAGACTGAATTTCAGTCTAAATATCAGCAAGCATTGGTACAGAGACAGCCTGGAAACCATGAAACTGAGTCAGGCCCAGAGCTTTCCGAGACATCCTCGGAAATCATGGGACATGGAGACATGGATTCTCCCATTGTACCTCTGGGGGCTTGTGTACAGGACAGTGCTGGTTCTAATGGACTCAAAGGTTCCCTTGACTCGACAGCTCGAGATGTGGTTGGCATGGAGACATGTGACAGGGAATCCGGCAGCTTGGAGGGGGTGAAGGAGGACATCACAGAGGCCTTTGAGAGGGTGACACTGTCTGAGGAAACAACTGACCCCAGCTTGTCGAAAGCCAGATTGTGTGACAGGGTGCCGGACAATCCCTTCTGGGGACAGCGCCCACAGAAAAAGCCACACTGCGTGGAGATTGTAGAGAAGACCGAGATAAACGAATTTTCAAGGAAAGCAAAGTTTAAGCCCAACCAGTAAGCTGTTTTTTTAATAATAATAATATATATATATATATATATGTGTGTGTGTGTGTGTGTGTGTGTGAATAATGCAAGTGGGATGACATTGACTCTGCAGATGACTTTGTATTCCCAGGCCTCTTCTGAAGGCCAACGGCTCCCCGAGTGGCTCGTCTCCATCTGCTGAGTCTCTGGGCGATGTGTCACCGCTCTCCATTGAGGCCAGGAGGCAGCGGGACCGGAAACACCTGGACGACATCACTGCAGCCAAACAGCGGCCGCTGCACCACAGCCCTGCTCAGCTGTTGAACCTGGCAGAGTCTGTCTCCCTGCTGCAGGAACAGACCAGGAAGTACGAGGTGGGTGGTGACACGTTGCCCCTGCCGTCTCAGACACCCAGTCCCAGGGCAGCCCCGCCCGCCCCAGGGCACCCCCGCCGGTCCCAGTGCAGCCCCGCCATGCTGAATCCTGTGTTTTCACTGCAGCCCAATCCATTGGCTTAACTGCTTCAGTAATTAGTAAATATATACAGTTATGATGTTTTCCCAGTATCTTGTGTCTGTAATATAGGCTTGGACAGTAATACAGTATACTATGGTATTTTGGGTATGCAGCGGTATTTTCATTTCATTTTGAAAATACTGTCAAAATACCATATACCACAGTATAATCAATTAGTATGCCCCCCCCCCAAAAAAAAAACACTATAATACAATATATTACAGTGGAGAAAACTGCAGGTGTCAGATGGGTTGTTTGTAAAATGCTTATGAAATATCATATTTACTGAAATTTGCTCCAGTAAGGTGTTAGGAAGAGTACTGCTTGGAAACAAAGTGCCAATAAGCATAAGTACTTTGTAACACTTGAATGTAAGACCTGGCTGAGAGATCAGGGGCTGTCTGGTTCGTACGGACGCTGTTCTTATAGAGTTACTAAGCTGACATATGTTTACCCATCTATACCCCCCCCACCACCATCAGGTTGTGCATCCATGTTCTTCACTATTACACCACCTGCTGTTTCTCTTAGTGTAGAACCTTTTTCATCTTTCTTTTCTTGTGCTTAGAGAGTTTAATGACTACAGTGAGGTATTTTCCGCTTTGTCATATGGCATATTTTAACACACGCTCTGTGTTTTTGCATCGCAGGAGCTGCAGGCCAAGGTAGCTGCGCAGAAGCTGGCCGAGAGATTGAGCGTCGGCACGGAGCCCTATGGCCTGGAGGTGCGAGTCTTGCGGGGGTACCGAGAGGTGCGTGACATCGGAGACGACCTCCCCTCAGACGAGGACTAAGAGGTCGGGCATCCCCACAGGATGCTGAGAGGATCATGTGGAAGCTGATGAAGAAAAGGACCTAAGTGGGATGGTAAATGTGAGACGTGGAACTGGACCTGATCAGAAGAGTCTTTTTCCAGCATGTATAGACAGCTGCCCTAAGTGCTGCACTCAGAGCGCCACCTGCTGTTATCCGCAGATTTTTACGTTGCCTTGTCCTCAGAGCTCCTAACTACGCAAAGCAGTTATTGGGGAAATAATTATTGTGAGGGGAAATATTTTTGTATTACTTTTCAGTGTTTATTTATTAAATAAAACAATGTTCTTAAAATGGCTGTTGATTTTCAGCTGCCTTTTTTTTTTTAGCATATTTAATATGCTGTGGATCACTATTCAGCGATTAGATTGACAGTTCTTGACTTATAACACCCCAGTAATGAATCCTCAAATGATACTAGACCTTGTTCTTTTTTAATATGTTTGCATCATATAAGCTGCAGTGATAAGGGGGAGATACTCAGGGAAGAGACAGAGTTTGGTAAGTTAAACCTGATACAGGATCAGATTAGACAACCCAGCGAGACCAATAGATTATTTTTAAAGGGTTTGATTGATAGATGATTGATTACTAGAGTTGAACCCCCTGTTTAGATAATATGGCTTATGTTCGAATTCTTCCAGTCATTTGGTGAGGTGAGGACGTGTTTTAATTGGCCGACGTTATCACGGGTGATCTGTGATGTTTTTGGTGGGGGAGGGGGGAGGGGTTAAGAGAAAAAATGCATAGTGAGTTATTGAAAACATTGAAGGAAGCTGCCCAGGGCTTAGAGTCATACATCTGGACTGGATTTAGATTACGTCCGTCCTCTGGGCAGCGGGGCATGATGGAAGGCCCAACACAGGCATCAGCGCCGCCCTGCTGATAAGGACGGCCAACATCAACACCGTGGCAGAACCCTCATTCTCTAAGTGCCCCGCCGCACTCATTACGAAGACGGCCCGTCTTACCACTGTGAGTCGGGAGGTTGAACAACAAATTGGGGAGGGTAAGTATCGGGGGGGGGGGGGTTTAGGGTGGGGCGGGGCGGCGAGGTGAAGCCAGTAGAGCTCCGCCGGTGATGATCTCTGATAACCCCGGTAACTGCCAGGCGTTACCGCGGCTGTGGGAGGCGCCTGAACAAACAGCAGGCGGTCCGTTCGGACCCGCCAGCCGACGGGCCCCAGATGGAGTCGCGCTGACTTCCAATAATAAATATGTCAGCCCGGCCCGGAGAGGATCTTTCTATTACTGGTATTAATTAGGTCTACCTTCCTCACATACATACAGAGACTGTTACCAATTAAATGCTGTTTTTTTTCCCCCTCCTGGTATCCGCCCCATGCTATCAGTCACAGGCCCGCTTGATAAAGTTGGGCGGGGGCCGGGCTGATGCTGAAAGGCCCAGAGGCCCTGATTGTCGCCACTCTCCAAACTTCTTTATAATTCTGGTGTCCCAAACCCCCTCACCTCAGTGCCGTAGTCTGCAAACGATTTGCTTGGCTGTGGGACTGAAAGTGCTCGTCTCTAGGGGATCTCCAACAGTCTTGGCACCGGAGAGGAAAAAATAAAATATGAGTGTTAAAAAAAAAAAAAAAAAAACAGTTTTTTCCTGCTTGGCCAGGAAGGCGCAGGACTTCACGCATGATGTATGCTTGGGTCAAACATTCGCTCTGCATTCCTGGTGGAATGACCGTGGTGTGTTTGCCCGGTTGCACACTTTGACGTTATTTGTGGTTTTTCGTGTTTCTCACCCCTCTACACTTTGCTGTCATTTTTTTCCATTTTTTTTTTCTTGACACAAATGAAGTCATTCTGCTCTCTTAAAGTTTCAGTGGCCTTTCGTGGGTACGGTTCCCGTGTTTCATGCTCCCCCCACCCCAATTAAAACCAGTCGTCTTTTTTTCTTGCTTACAGCAGAATTACATTCCTACGGGATTTGTTTAAATAACACTTTGATTTATGCTCCTATCATAGTTTCTTTGCAGATTAACAAGCCCTGCGCCATAGTTGTTCTTCATAGATATCTGCGCAGGCGCTACGGATCACAATCTCCCCTTTAAATGGCTCATTTAATGCCATTTTCTCCCTCCTCCTCCTCGTCTCCCCAACTAAATGGCATTAGTCAAGTTCTCTGTTCATCGCAGAGGTCCACCACCAGAGGGCAACTTTGTCCGCTTACACTAAAATTACAGTCAAGTTACAGTAAAGAGGGAAAGTGTAACAGCTCTACTCCTAGGTACTTGGTGACATCACTATCTAGGATGGGGGTGAGTTGGGGACCACCTAAATCAGGGCAGACTCGTCCAGCACAGCAGGTCTGGGAGGCAGGTGCTTGGTGTTTTAGTAGGCCTCCTGTCTGAGGTCTTCACTTATTTGTGACACATAGCCTGAGTGCACTCGGCTTTTCTCGGGACAGATTGGCCTCTGTTGCCAGTAGGTGAATAACCAGTTCAACATACATGGCGGTCTGTACCTGCATTGACATGAGTGAGCCAGCAGGTGGCAGAAGTGCCACTTAAGTCTTTGTGCTCCCGGCTGTGGTGGCCTTGGCTGTATTTGCTCCATTTCTGGGACTGCCTATTACATCACCGAGGAACTTGCTGGGAAGGCTGCATGGTAAGACCTGTACAGTGTGTGGGGCTGCACTGGACAGGTGTGGGGTGAGCAAGCATTGGGTTTGCTCTGCCACTCTGCTTTGGTCACAGAAACTTTGCAAGCAATGGGATGGAATGAAAGCAGCAAAGCATGCTGGGTATTGTCATGAGCCGTCAGCAGTGGAAACCATTTTTGTGCGCCTGTCTTCCAGTGTGATGTAGGGCACGGCGCATGAAGAATGCTGCGGTGGATGGCTGTCTCTCATGACGGCTAAGCTGCGCCTTTCTCCCATGCACTCCTGCCCAGGTCCACCAGAGGGTCACACGGCACAGGTCGCCCTCCGATGGCGGGACAAAGACCTGCCCCTCAACATCGGGCTCCTCGACCCTGTTCTTGTCAAGTGCCCACAATGGCGGCCGCATGGGAATCTTGGCATGACAATGAGCGGGCGGCAGCGCCTTTGGAGAGGAGCGGCGTGGGCCAAAAAGCTGCCAGCGTCCCGGCTGCTCTGCGTCTGGGCTGGCACTGTATTAAGCGGCCAGTGCCGGGGCCTGTCAGAGCCTCATCACCGCGAGGAAGCCGTCTCCGTAGGGACTCCGCGGCGTTGCCAGGACACCGTAGGGGTGAGAAACTGAAGCCTTTGGCCCAGCATCTTGTGTAATAATGAGGAGGAAAATTCCTGTTCTTGTAATCTGACTAGTGTAATAACAACAATATGTTTTTGCGTGTTATTTTTTGCTCTCTGTCTTGGGTTTAAATGGTTACAGAAATCACTTAGGAAGCAAAACAATTTTATACTTCAGGTTGACGGGGATAAAAAAAAAAAAAAGTGTTGCAGAAAGCTGCTGGTCCATTTTAGCGAAAACAACATCGTCTAGTATCTTCGTCGCTTTTCTTGTTCTCCTGGACGTCTCTGGCTGTTAGAACTTAACTGGTTTCATAAATGTTTCTTTGGATGAACCATGAAGTGTGGTGAAATTCCAGTCCAGTCCAGAGTGCGAAGATCTGGGGGCTTTATGCAGCTCACACTTTT